ACCTCTTCAATAATCTTTTGACCATATTGTCTCATTACGATACAACTTAAAGAGTTATAAATCGAATTGTCTCATGAAATTGTGTAAATTTCTAGAAGGTTAACTTAGTGTTGCTTCAGGAAAGAAAATGGCAAGAACGAAGAAAATACCTGACAGAGGAAAAGAAAAGAAAAGCAAAAGTAAGAACGTTATTGAAAATACCACCAAAAAAAGGATAAAAGATCGTGTCTTCAGAGAAATAGTGAAGTACCAAAAATCTGTAGATCATCTCATTCCTCGTGCTCCATTTTCTAGACTTGTCAGGACTGTCCTCCAGCGAATAGTTGAAGATGGTGGATCAGCATTCGAGAACAGGGATTTCAGGGTAACAAAGGAATGCCTGATATGCCTCCATGAGGCTAGTGAAATTTACATGACGGTTTACTTTGAAGATTTGAATCTCTTAGCACAACATGCCAAAAGAGTGACTATCATGACAAAGGACATTGAAATTCTGAAGAATTTAAAAAGATCAAATCCTCATGGCCTCCTATCATGATCTGATTTCGATGATCATTTTATATTGATCAAAATTCCTGCCCAGCTCCCAATTAACAACAGATACCTGTAAACAGATGAATTATTTACACATTCCACTTCAAGAAGTCTATTTATGCTCAAGTGAACACATATTCGGTTTAAAGAGTATCGAAATTATTCGTTTTCAATTTGAGCGGAAGCTCTAACCTCTAGTCACTAGTGAGTCTAGGCCGCCAAGTTGAGATATCAAGCAAAAATGTGCACTCAATTAACCCATACAGTAGAAGTTAATTGTGTAAGTTGTTAACAGAACTGCTATTTTTATAATGATCAGACAGATACTTTAGTTCCATCCGAAGGGCCAAGCCAAGAGATTGCTTCCGATAAATTAAGGACAAGTTGTACATATCACAGTTTTACTCTACACCTTAAAAGAACAAGAGGTGAGACAGTCGTAATAGTGCAGTAATTTTTGGTGCAGCTAATTATTGAGGAACTATTCTTTTGGTAATATGTTGTTTGTTGATGCTAATTCAAGTGTTTACCTTTGCTTGTTGTTTATAAGTTTCGTTATTATATTGTACCTCTTCAATGATCTTTTGAGTTTTGACCATATTATCTCATTACGATACAACTTAAGATTTATAAATCGAATTGTCTCATGACAGTGTTTACCTTTGCTTAAGTGATTGTCAGCTGTAACCTTTGGTGGTAACTGACACTGTACCTCGTAAACAATGTGATATAGCTGGGATTCAAATATTGAAAACCATTATATTTACCTCCAGTGTACACCTAAATTAACCTCCCATTTTATTTCCCCCAAAGTAAATTTGGTCCAGCTGTATTGTTTTTTATAAGTTTGATTATTATATTGTACCTCTTCAATAATCTTTTGACCATATTATCTCATTACGATGCAACTTAAGGCCAGAGGGGGGGGTAAATGGCACTTTTCTAGTTTTCACATATTTGATAATAGCTGCTGGAGACAAACAAGAAGAAAAAAACCAGATCAAAATCTGACCTTGCGTTCCTGAGATATCGCGCGCTAAATTTTGAGGTTTACCTGTAATTACATGTTGAACTGGATCTTTAAACGGCTGTAACTTTTTTGACCTTTCGATTCCTTAGTTGAGAAAACCGGCCACTCCCTGATCTTGAGGTTTGGTACAGTGGTTCCTTAGACAATTATCCTCATTTATTATGTGAGCGATTTTTGTTATTTGACTCGGTTCTTGAATTATGAGGTTAACTATGTCAAAAATTCGGAAAATTTAGCTGGTTAACCTCATAATTCGAGAACCGAGTCAAATAAAAAAAATCGGTCACATAATAAATGAGGATAATTGTCCAAGGAACCACTGTACCAAATCTCAATATCAGGGGGTGGCTGGTTTTCTCAACTAAGGAATCGAAAGGTCAAAAAATGTGTTTTGAGATAGATGCAATTTAGTGTTTTCAAAATTTTGAATATTCACTGGAATGTATCACAGTTCGTTAGTTAGGACTTTTTATAAACTTAATAACGTTTGCTTGATCAGACCTGGCCGTCCCCTAAATGATTTTAGCTACTTTCAGTAGTTAATTTCCTTGTATTGTAAAAAATGAGGTTAACCAAGACTTCCTGTAAACACTAACTACTTAAAATTTGGTTGTTAACCTCGCTTTAGACCATATAACACTGGGATTGGTTTATCAATATGTTATTATATATGTAGTAAAACATTTGCACAGTATAACGATTAAGTTTTTGAGGTTAAAATATAATTGATTAGTCAGGTATTCAAAAAATGAGAGGTTAACCTCATTTTTTAGCCATTTACGGGTAAAATCTTCTACTAAAATATGGTCAGTTCGAATCACCTTTGTCACGTGATTATAGTTGTAGGCATTGTGATACCAATAGATACCTCACTTCGATATTGTGGTACATTACATAAATAAGAATCGTATGTATATTCCCTACGGTACCAAAATGTGTTGGTTAACCTCATTTTTTTCATTTTCCCAAGATAAAAGAAAGTCAATCAACACGTCATCTATTTAGAAATGTGTATACCGTAAACTTACGATGAAAATAATAACTCTATCATTTGATCTATTCTCGCTATATCTAAAAGACGAGGTTAACCTCATTTAATCACGTTTGGATATTACTTTTTCTGACAATTATGAACCTAAAATTTAGAGTTTACATTTGCTGACCGAAATAACAAAAAATTATGGCGTGTAATAAAATATTAACCTCAATTTTATTAACCTCAATGTTGTATAGTCAATTTTGTGAAAATCGGTTAACCTCAATTATAAAATAAAGTTAATCAGCTACAAATATGTGAATAGCGGCAATGTTTTTGTCATTAAAAATTAAATCGATTTAGAAAATAATATTTTGGTAGAATTTTTTGACCCCTTACCCCCCCCCCCCTCTGGCCTTAAAGAGTTATAAATCGAATTGTCTCATGAAATTGGGTACATTTATAGAAGGGTAACTTAGTGTTGCTTCAGGAAAGAAAATGGCAAGAACGAAGAAAATACCTGACAGAGGAAAAGAAAAGAAAAGCAAAAGTAAGAACTTTATTGAAAATACCACCAAAAAAAGGATGAAAGATCGTGTCTTCAGAGAAATAGTGAAGTACCAACAATCTGTACATCATCTCATTCCTCGTGCTCCCTTTTCCAGATTTGTCAGGACTGTACTACAGCGAATAGTTAAAGATGGTGGATCAGCATTCAGGAACAGGGATTTCAGGGTAACAAAGGAATGCCTGATATGCCTCCATGAGGCTAGTGAAATTTACATGACGATTTACTTTGAAGATTTGAATCTCTTGGCATCTCATGCCAAAAGAGTAACTGTCATGACAAAGGACATTGAAAGTCTGAAGCATTTAAAAAGATCAAATCCTCATGGCCTCCTATCATGATCTGATTTGGATGATCATTTTATATTAATCAAAATTCCTGCCCAACTGCAGCTCCCAATTAACAACAGATACCTGTAAACAGATGAATTATTTACACATAACATTCCACTTCAAGAAGTCTATTTATGCTCAAGTGAACACATATTCGGTTTGAAGAGTATCAGAACTTATTAATTTTCAAATTTGCAAGTGATCTCTGAAAGTTGAAACTTGACAATTCAGCTTAGTCTCTCCCTCAACAGATTTGACAGTACAAAGAAAAAATGAAAATTGAAAAAAGGAAATTGTATACAAGTTATTATTACATTAATGTGAAATTTTCAAAAATGTAAATAATGTGTAACGATTTTAATTTAAGCCATGTTCCGGGAAAATAAATTTGTAGGCAGAGCATGATATGAACACTATTCAGAATCCGCATAGTGTTCATATCATGCATTGCAGATGGGTATTTTGAGGTTAAAACTATTTGCAACTTCAATACACCACTTTTTTGTTAATTTTGAGTCGACTCTTTACTGAGAATATTTAAATCTGTATTTATTTTTAACCATATTTGAATAAAGTATTTTGTAATATAGCAATTCGTGACATTTTCAAGTTAACAAATAAACAAGTTGCAAGTGTTGTTTCTACATATCTCATCATTTAATGACATAATATCTTTGATTTCACTCAGAAAATTGGATGACACCAAAATGAATACAACTACAGGGTGGGCCAAAAGTCAGTGTGCAAACGTTGGCCTTAATAGCTCAGTCACTGAGTGCCCAATTGAAATACTTCCTTCTGGTATGACTTAGTACCACCACTGGTTCGAGGAATTTGTCAACTCGAAAAATATTCGCGTTCATTTTTTTCAAATGGAGGTTCATTTTCACATTTATTTGATAGTTTGGATAGTCGGATCAAGCTAAATATTATTGAATTGTGTTTGGCCATTCGAATTACGTTTGTCCTGAAAGAATTAGAACTGTAGCTTCTCAGATGACCGAGATATGAAGCATAACGAGTTTATTCATTACGTGTGATCAGGTGATTGGTTTACCTAATCACGTGATAAGGTGACCCCGTTAACTACCCCGTTAAACATTATGGGAATTGTTAAGGGTGCCCAATTAAGGTGTCGTGTCACGGTGTCACATAATCACCCAGTCAATTTTGTTAACGAGATACACAAAATGCTTGATAACTTCGTCATTTCTAATCCGTTTTGCCTCATGTTTTCAGATCATATGCAACATTTAATAATCTACCGTCTCTGAAAAAATTAGGCGTTCAGCATGTTCAGAGAAAACAATATAGGTGTTTTAATATTGAATGGGCGTGGTCTAAAATATTCGAATTTTCAAATTTTGACGACGGAATCCTCGAACCAGTAAGTACAGTATGCCATCTGCAAAGCAACAGCTCTCAAATATAAAACACGGCGGAGGTATAAGACCCAACGTTTGCACACTGACTTTTGGCCCACCCTGTATTAAATTACTGAAATGTAAATCAGGTTTTTGTCAATATTGTTTCATATGTCTGATGATATAAATATTTAAGGGAGATCATGTCGGAAACCAAACAAGAACCCGTCGCACAATTCAAGGTATGTACAGATTGATCCGAAATTCTGGCTAATGGCTATCATTGTTTTTTTAAAGAAGTTTCTTGACGTTGAAAATGTTGATGGTGGATTTTGAGTTGTGGAGGTCGCCATCATCACCATGACAACCACAGCTCAGTTTAAACTTTAGGTTATCAACAGTTCAATTAACTACCGTTCAAAATATTCGGGGAATTGTGTACTTGACTAATTAATTAAGCACTTAATAGGGATTATAAAACCTTGAGGCAGTTTCTAATGTCAAAGAATGACCATTAAAATAATTTCAGCTGGTGTTGGTGGGTGATGGTGGTACTGGAAAGACAACATTTGTCAAACGTCATTTAACGGGAGAGTTTGAGAAGAAATACGTTGGTAAGTTGTATATTTCCATTCACTTGTCACTGTATGCTGAGTACTGACATTACCTGTTAGACGGCTTTTCAGTGTGATAAAAAGCCAGTTTAAACAGTTTCTACTTGAAATCGTACTGTTGCAATGAAGTAGAGCAGAAGATGCCAGCAATTTCAATTCAGTTTGTGTATATATTATGGATTCAGTTGAAAAGGGGAGGAAATTTATCGTGATTTCAAAAACTGGCTTTTCCAAAACTGTATACTTAAGATCTGCCACTACTTTTCATAGCCATGTATAACAAATTTCCCTTGGTGTGTTCCTGAGGTCACTTATGAATAGCAAATAGCTAATGGGATACATTTTTTGAAATTCAGTTGGGATCTTGTAATTGAGAACGTGAAAAAAGTGCGCTTTTACAAATTTTCCGTTTTCATAGCCACGTTAAAGTTTTAACGTTTGTGTTTTGATACATTTTGCAATACTTAGTACACAAAATGTACATCGTTCTAAAATCGGGTCGAAGTTCGCAGGTGACGATCTTCTGACTCCAGTACAAAAGCGCGCCAAAATGTGGCGCGCTTCGTTTTACCCCCGAAAATTGGGTCCTTTTTCGGCACTCTCGATTCGTGATGACGCGCGCTAAAAATGTTAATCCTATACGCTTTGTGCGTGCGAACGACCGGTTCAATCCACTCCAAGCCAGTGGATCCTCCGTATCTCAAATTCATAAAAGTTTCGTGTCAAACAACCCTGTTTTGAAATTGTTCCGACGTTTACTCTACGCCCATTATTATTACATACGGAGGTCAAACATTGACCTTTATTGCCATTTTATTAGCCGCTCTCGCATTCATGTAATAAAGGCGGGAAATACTTAGTGTAATAAAATGTATAGACCGTATGTGTGGCTGTAATATTGTAACACGTATATTTTCAGCAACCCTCGGTGTTGAAGTACATCCACTGGTGTTCTATACTAACTTCGGGCCCATCAGGTCTGCAATTCGTTAGAAATTTCCAATACCATCTGTTCTCATTTATTTGAGTATTCAGTTAATTGACTGTTATATAATGCTTTTCCACTCGAATGTTATGAAACATCACTTTCGGGAATAAGACAATAATTTATTTTGCGACTAATGATTGATTGGTTTCGAATTTCAATACACAAAATCAATTTAGATAACGTAAATACGAGACTTATTTATTGAACGAATGTGTCGTCAGATTCAACGTGTGGGACACAGCCGGCCAAGAAAAATTTGGAGGTCTCCGTGACGGTTACTATATCGGAGGACAGTGTGCTATCATCTTCTTCGATGTCACGTCTCGTGTCACGTACAAAAATGTGCCTAGTTGGCACAGGGACTTGGTCAGAGTACTGGAGAACGTGCCCATTGTCCTTTGTGGAAACAAAGTCGATATCAAGGACAGGAAAGTGAAGGCTAAACAGATTACATTCCACCGAAAGAAGAATCTTCAGGTATGGTGTTTAGCTGCGTAATATCATACTAGAAATACTTTTAATTTCCTTTACCTCTTAAATGTTTAGTTCTCTAAACCCTACTCGAGTATAAGATATAATTTTGTAACCTGAGGTTGCAGGAGTTACCTGGGGACAGGCTGAGCGCCGCCCAGTAATGCATGAGTTGCAAGATAACGTAATTCTATTTCAGTACTATGACATCAGTGCCAAATCTAACTACAATTTCGAGAAACCATTCCTTTGGTTAGCCCGAAAGATTACGGGCGAGGCAGGATTACAGTTTGTTGAAGCACCCGCTCTGGCTCCCCCAGAGGTCAAAGTCGATCCTCATCTCATGGCTCAGGTATGTATTTCAGATGTCCACCTAATTTGTTAATTTTAATTCTACGAACGCGAAGATTGAAGCGATCTGCACTGATTTATTTGATCCCACTCAAGTCCATACGGACTTGTTGTATTGTATGTTGAATAAGGACCCATCCTTTGTCCTAAAATGAATTACTTGTTGCTAATACTTAGGTGATTATATAAATAAAGTGGCGGTAATCTAAGAAAAAACCTTAAATTATTCATTACTTCATTCACAGTACGAACAAGATTTGGATAACGCGGCGAACATGGCCCTTCCCGACGATGACGACGATGACGACTTGTAGAGAGAGTATGAGGAAGGCTTTAGACTTGATTAGTCAGTCTTAAATGACATTCAATTAGTCTGGATATTCCATTTGCAGTTTAGAATTGCCGAACTGGATGTGATCTTGCTCTTTAGTAGTGTTTTTAAAATGTGTTTCCTTTTGGGCTAATCTAATTCGATCTTGGGAAAGGGAGATCGAAGTTAGAAATTCTTTTTTGAATTTTCGAATCTGTCAAAACATTTGAATAAGCCTCAGAACCCGGCTAGAATTTCAAAATAAGAGGGTAAACACCCGTATTTGATTTTTAGTTCAGTATCGCCCAAAATATTTATAAAATTAAAACTATGAGCCGGACTGTTTTATTTTATTTATATTTTTAATTTGCCATTAGATTGAGGGTATTTTTCGTTTATCAGTAGGGGGATGAAAAATTGCTAAGTCGTGAGGTAAATCAATCCGGACATCGTACTTTACCAAAATTCGACAGAATACCACGTCCGTCCTAAGGTTGAAGTTTATATACAAAATATGAATTGACGTAAACTGTAAACACCGCACCGAATCGACCACAAATCACATGCACAATTTAATCTGTGTTCAGTGGCGTTTTATTCTGAATGTAGGATAATGATTATATTATTAATCAATATACACTACACTCTTATCACGTTACTTACTTTACTAACTACTATGACTTTACGTACATTACTTACTAACACTTTCTGTGTGACTTTTTAGAACCTTAACGGTCATGTCACGTGATCGAAACAATTTTTCGTCAGGGGTGGTTAACATTTTGTCATGTGGGGTGATTCGGAATGAGCGTTCGAAAATTTAAATGCATCGATTGAAGTTTGAGCCCTTTTTAGAGAAATTAGGGGTCGTTCACATATTACGTAATCAATATTTTGGCAATTTTTACCCCCCCCCCCCCTCCGTGATCAACCGTAGGCGTAATCAAGACCGAACCCCCCCCCCCCCCCCCCCCAAAGCACTTACTGAACGAAAATTGGTTTAAAAAACGAAAATTTTGATTACACTATTAACGAAAATTGTCCAATTGGTATTTCGAAAATCGGTAAAAAATTTAAATCAACGACCAACCCCCCCCCCCCCCCCCCCCCCGCAATCAACCGTAAGCATTAAAAAACCCCTCTGCTGAAAACGTAACATGTGAACGACCCCTTAGAGTGTAGATCAGAGTGATTTAGCGCGCTTGCAATACCCAGGCAAGATAGGCTCTCCCAAATTTTAAGAAAATTCTTGTGAAAAGGCCCTGAGAGTGAGGGTCGGTATGAGACTGAGAGTGATCTGATCCGGTATATTTTGGACGCTGATTCCGAATCACCCCATGAGATGAGGACGTAAAATTGCTTCCCTGGAGAGTTTTCTAGGCAAAAAACTGTGGCACTTGACAGGCTGATAAAACATTGTCATACGTTGTATGACCCGCCGCGCACGAAGTGCGCGGCTCCCCCTGTATCGTCAGGAATATCGTCAGGACTATAGTGAAACGACCGTGGGGTCGCAACGTGATACAAATAAAACACGAATTCGATTTAGGGCTCGGGTTAGGGTTTAGTTATGGATAGCTTCAAGGTTATGATTAGGGTTTATGTAAAACCGTTTTCAGTTTTGTTCAGCTGCATAACCATAAAAAACCAAAGTCAACTGATAATTTTTTGTCACACGTTGTTATGTAGACCTACCGCGCACGAGTGCGCGGCTGTATCCAGTATCGTCACCCAGGAAACCTTACCGTTAGGGGCCTAACTTCGGAAGTAAAAGAGATAGAAAGTTCAGGTTTTCAGCAAAATGTCCGTCTCGTAAAACTAAAGTTGGCTCCCCAGAAGCCAAATCTGGGACAACTTATATTTTGAATTATCGCGAAAAGTTTGATTTTGGGCTAAATAAAAGATCACAGCTTTTAAACTTTGCGAAGAAATGTCGTTCTCATGACTCCAGATTGTAATTCACGCGAGCGATCATGCAGTGAACGTGACGTCACGCGCGCCGACACACGTGCTATCGAAAAACAACCACCTCTAGTAACACGGCCAGCCGGTAACCTTTTCTTTGACGGATGTTACTCGTCTAAATTTCTTCGAAGTAGCGCGCGCCGCTTTCTTCTCGACGGCACGAGCTACGAAGTAGCGCGCGCCGGGCCAGATCATTAACAATGGTCAACCTTTTCTGGGCACGAAGTTGACCATTGTCAATTGTTAATGGTCTGGCCCGGCGCCGCGCGCGCTACTTCGTGGTAGACGTTAAAAACTAGTGGAGCCGCGGCAAAGTAGCAAAATGCGCGGGCAGTTCTAAAATTTATAATGTCGCCGCGCCTCACGTCTTGTATCTTTGTATTATTAGACAACAACATCAAATTCACTGTCCATATTTTGTAACAAAATCTAAAATTTCATAATACATGGTGTTGTATATGTTTTAATATCACTATAACTAAAGCGGACAAGCTTTTTATTTTACAACAATATCATTCGGTCTCCTTGTCACTGTAACACTTTGAAAGAAACACGAAGATTGAACAGCGAGACAGAGAATGGATAAAATGTGACCTCCAGATCAGTAAAATTAGGGGCGCTGGGAGAGCTGCATAGAGTCCACTAGTATTTAATGTTAGCCTGTACTGGCTCAATAAAATGTGACCTCCAGATCAGTAAAATTAGGGGCTCTGGGAGAGCTGCATAGAGTCCACTAGTATTTAATATTAGCCCTACTTCGTTGTCAGTTGTAGCGCGATGCGTTACTGTGCCGCGCCGCGCACTCAATGCAATGAGGCTTCTCTCGCTAGATCGACGAGATGCACTACCGAGTACCGTGCCGCGCCGAGCTACGATGAATTGACATCGTCAATTAAGCTACTTCGTAGCACTTGTCATCGGGCCATACCATTTCAAGAAGAAAGCGGCACGCGCTACCTTGAAGAAATTTAGAGGAGTAACATCCGTCAATTACGAAGTCAATCACGAAGTTAATCCCAATTGCCAATGTCGGGAATTCCTGATCTTTTTTGAACCGAAATTCCCGACCGGGAAATTTTTTTATTTCCCGAATTTCGGGAAATGTTATGCAATGTAATTTTAAAAAATTTAGCGCCTAGATTAGCTTGCTAATGCTTGACCATTGTTAATGGTTTGGCCCGGCGCGCGCTACTTCGTAGCACTTGCCATCGGGAAGAAAGCGGCGCGCGCTACTTCGAAGAAATTTAGACGAGTAACATCCGTCAAGCTAATGCTCGAATCTTCGATGCTCACGCTGGGTAATAAATAATCATAATATAACATTCATCGCCACACGTGCTTTTATTTTATGTTACGTTTGCAGGTTGTAGCGCGATGCACTACTGGGTCGCGCCGCGCATCAACAATCAATGATCAAACAATTCTTCTCGCAACCACGTATGCAGATCGGCGAGATGCGAAGGATTGACATCGTGAATCAAGTTCGCAGGGAGACTAAACACTAAAGTGCAAAAAAACTGTTATCAGAAATTACAAATTAGCAGACAACCTTATAACGTAAATGTGGCACTGTGGCACTTGTGGCACTAACATGTGGCACTCGCGACACTCACATGTGGCACTTGTGGCACTATCATATGTAGCATGTGGCACTTGCGACACTCACATGTGGCACTTGTGGCACTATCATATGTAGCATGTGGCACTTGCGACGGCAACTTGGTCGTTTAGCTCCGGACAGTCTATGCAACGTCTATGCAACGTCCATGCAACAACAAAAGAACCGTCTATGCAACGTCTATGCAACGTCCCTGCACAATGAACACTCTATGCACACTCCCTGCACGGTCAGTCTATGCAACGTCTATGCAACGTCTATGCAACGTCCCTGCACAGTACCATATGAACACCGGCTACTAGCCGGCTACTAGCCGGCTAGTAGCCACTTTTGTAATAACAGCTCCTCAACTTCACATTACCAACCGGCTACTAACCGGCACTTGAAAAGTAGTCACTAGCCGGCTACTAACCGGCTACTAGCCAGCTAGTGACCACAAAGTGGCTACTAACCGGCTACTAAGCGGTCACTAGCCGGCTATTAGCCGAGCTCTAAAGCAGACCTATTAGTAAACCGGTTCTAAACCGGCTACTAGTAGGTCTGCTTTAGAGCTCCCCAGGAAACCCTACCGGCTGGGGTATATCTCCAAAAGTAAAATAGATAGAACCTTCCGGTTTTCAACAAAATGTCCGTCTCGTAAATTTAAAGGAGGCTCCCCAGGAGCACAATTGGGAACAATTTAGATTCTGAATTAAACCAAAAAGTTTGATTTTTGGCTAAATTAAAGATTGCAGCTTTTAAACTTTGCAAAGTCATGTCGTTGTCATGACTACTAAACTAAATGCAGCGTGTGAAAGGTAAACTCGATGTGACGCGCGACGCCCAACGTGCTGTTGAAAATCTATAACCTCTAGCAAGCCCAGCAGGCGGTAAGGTTTTCTGGGTCGGCTAATAGCCGGCTAGTGACCGCTTAGTAGCCGGTTAGTAGCCACTTTGTGGTCACTAGCCGGCTAGTAGCCGGTTAGTAGCCGGCTAGTGACCACTTTTCAAGTGCCGGTAAGTAGCCGGTTGGTAATGTGAAGTTGAGGAGCTGTTATTACAAAAGTGGCTACTAGCCGGCTAGTAGCCGGCTAGTAGCCGGTGTTCATATGGTACTGTGCAGGGACGTTGCATAGAGGTTGCATAGACGTTGCATAGACTGACCGTGCAGGGAGTGTGCATAGAGTGTTCATTGTGCAGGGACGTTGCATAGACGTTGCATAGACGGTTCTTTTGTTGTTGCACGGACGTTGCATAGACGTTGCATAGACTGTCCGGAGCTAAACTTCCCTGTTAGTACTAAAAGTTTCGTCTCGATGAGCTGATTACGATACCATATCTATGTGATAATAATTGAAAATGTGCAAGTAATAGGCCAAAAACTAAAAATTTGCGCGAAAAAAGCACGCGCGGCGAACAAGCGCCGTGTAGCATTTTTTCCGAAAATTGCTACACGGTGGATTTGTTTTATTCACATTTTTAGACAACTTTTGGTACCAAATTTATCGAAATCGGAGAAAAAAGTTCTGTGCTCGCGTTTGGCGCTTATTACACTGACTATATCGGCAAGAACATAACCTATCGCCTGAACTATCTGTTTAAAAAAATTACAAATAAATATAGTTATGGTTCATTATTAGTCTAAAAAAGGCCAAAAATTGCATTAAATATGTCCTGCGGAGAACCGTCCAGCTGGACGACTAGGTATATGTTACTTTAAAGTGATCTGATTGGTAAGTTAACACCACGTGGACAGCGAATCACATGTCATGTCACAAAGCGCTTAAGAAATTGTTTAGCTACAATATTTCTGAAA